TGCGAGAACCTACTTACTAAACAAAGACTATCCGAATGCGGTTCATTGGTTCCAAGCGGTGGTTGACGATAAGACCACACCGAAGTCAGCGGTGCAAAGATGTATAGATCGAGCTGATCTGGCGTCGGCTATGTACGCGTCTGGTACAGATCGCGACATCATGGGAGCAATAAATCTCAATATGACGACCTTGCAAAGAGCGGAAGCGAGCCTAGGAAAAGACCACATCGAGTCCGTAAAAGTCAGATACAACCTGGGCCGAGAGTTGCGTGATCTGAAGAAGTACGACGATGCCATGGAGAAATTTAGCCAGGTGGTCGACATCCTCCGCTTGAAGTCATGTAAAGCCAGATCATCGCCTGAGTACCAAGATTATCTTGGAGACGCAGAGATCTCGCTCAAGAACTGCAAAACCAGGGTTGATCGACAGAAAGAAAAGGCAAGACGACAGGCTGCCTCGGCAGCGGAAGAAAGAAGACAGAGGGAGGAGGAGGTCAAAGCCCAGGAAGCCGAGAAGACGCGTCTACAAGAGGCTGCAGACCAAAAGGAGCAAGCTAAAGCACGGCAGCTGGCTGCCTCAGCAGCGGATCAGAGAAGAAGGAGAGAAGAAGAGCTCAGAATAAAGAGAGTTGAGGAAATTCGAATTCGAGAGGCTAAAGCCAGGGAAGAGGAGGCCGAGCGAAAACGGTCACGAGTGGAGAAAGCCCGACAACAGGAGGCTGAACGAGTACGGTTACAGAAGGCTCGACAAGAGGAAGCTGAGCGAGTACGGTTACTAGAGGAAGAAAGAAGACGAAAATTGAATGAAGATGCAAAGAGACAGGCAGCTGAGGAAGCGCATGAGCAAGCTATGAAGGTCCAACAAGAGGAAGCGAAAAAAATACAGGCTCGTAAGGTCAAAGATCAGGAAGAGAAAAAGCGGAAACAGGACGAAGACGCAAAGAGGGAGGCAGTACAGTTAGTACAGTTGCAAGAGGAAGAGGAGAAAAGACGAAAACAGAACGAGGCTGCAAAGAAGGAGGCAGCTGAGAAGAAACGAGCTCGAGAGGCTAAAGACAGGCAAGAGGAAGCTGAGTCAGCACGGTTAAGAAAGGAGGAAGAGAAACGACTACAAGAGGACGAAGACGCAAAGAGAGAGGCCGCTGAGAAAGCGCGCGAGAAAGAGATGAAAGCCCAACAGGAGGAAGCAAGAAAGATACAAGCGCGCAAGGCAGAAGACGAGAGAAAGCATGAAGAGTCTGCGAGGCAAGCCACGCGCGATAGAGAGATGGCGGCCAAAAGGAAACAGGAAGAAGAGGCCAAGTCGATCTTGCAACAACTGGATGCGCTCGCAGAAACTCTAAAAGGGCTCGAGACACGCAACAGCGAAGAGATGGGTAACGCTAGAGCTGCTGTTGAGGGACAAAGTACAACACTAGGAGAAAAATGTCACCTCCAAACAGTGCTATCGGCAGAGTGTATTGCTCCGGAACCCACCGCAAAGTCCGAAGTTCCGGTTGGGCATCAGATACTGGGACGCACAACACAATTCGAGCCAATCGTGGAGCAACCTGCCGGGACAGAGAGCATGCCTGCAAAAGACCACATAGTCCGCACTTCAATGTCCTGGTTAGGGAGGCAGACGATGCAGTTTGTTGACCTGCTTGTTCCAACAACTCCGCCGTGGGCCTCAACGCCCACCTTAAACACCCCAGAGTTTGTTGCATTGATGGAAGGATCAAAACGAGAAAAGAGCATGTCTGATGCTCAACCTTCGATCGAAACGCAACCTGAGCCTCATGTGCGATCCGAATCTGTTCCCGTCATCCGCGCAAAGATATTCGAGGCTGAGAGAAGAGATACTTTCGTGCCTGGTGGATGGCATCACGATTTTGATGAACCAGGGCCCGTTTCCAAAGTGAGGAAAGTGCGTTCCAACGACCTATTGAGCAAAGGTAGCTTGCGAGTATTAGAGACGGGAGACGCAAAACACAAGCGTGCCTCATCCGTTGGCGATTTGAAGAGAAGCGTGCCCACATCGCTTGTTACCCCGATCAAGAATTGGAGTGCCCAGGAGTAAGTATCGCGGTATCTTAGGTGTAGGACATCTCGTTAACGATGCATAGTGAGGTTATAGCCGACAGTTGGTTCGAGAACCTGCGCAACCATGCACACGTCTTGCTAGACAGATACCAGGATGACTCCTTCAAGCAGAAAAAGACCGAGCGACGTGTAAAGATCGCTGTGCTCGACAGTGGAGTTGCCAAGAGCGCTGCTCGAGGCCCAGTCCCGCCGCTAATGAAGAGTCCACGAGTGAAGCTAGGAAAGCAGCTGGATCCGGCCCTGCCCTGGAATTGCGATAGTAAAGGCCACGGTACCCATGCCGCTGGTGTAATCCTCACTGTCTGTCCGTACGCAGATGTGTATGTGTACAGGGTCTGCGAAGGTAACGAGGCGATCAACAGAAAGTACGTGGCGGAGGCCATTAACGACGCTGTCGAGAAGAAGAAGGTCGATATCATAAGTATGAGTTTAGGCTGGGATGAGAACAGTGATCTCGGACTTCGGGCGGCCATCGAGCGTGCAAGAGCTAGTAGTGTGCTACTCTTCGCGGCGAGTTCAAATGAAGGCATTCGAACAAAAGCTGGCATGGCGTATCCAGCTCGCGCATTGGAAGTCATTGCCGTCGATGCAGCGGATGTTCATGGCAATCCGTCCAAGTTCAACCCTCCACAACTCAGAGATAAAGCCAGGTTTACTGCCCTGGGCGAGGCGGTGAGATCGACATATCCTTTGCACCTTCCTTCGGAAGATTCAGTGGATGGTTTCAAGAGAATGGTAGGAACATCCTGCGCTACCCCCATCGCTGCCGGCATTGCGGGACTAGTACTAGAATTTGCCCGTCAACGACCGCTTTGCTTCGAACCTGCCATCGAGGCCCACCTGAAGTCGGTAGAGGGTATGAGGCTGATCTTGACGAAATGCCTATCGCTCAAGTATGCAGACAACTCACCATTTAACCATCTCGACCCGACGATATTGTTTCATTGTACGGAGAGAGCTAGTGACGGAGGTGGCTTTTCCGAATATCTGTCGCCGCGATCCAGCGCAGCGTACAACATCGTGACGAAGCTGCGTGAAGAGTTCTCGCCGGATATTGGGATGCAAATGGGGGTGGAGCTCCAAAGAGAATGGGCAAGAGGCGGTCAGAGCAGCACAGAAGAGAGTTGACGTTCGTGGTTCGAGGATCAGAAGAAATCCCGAGAAGGGTCCAACGCGTTCAGAACGCGCTAGTGCACGTCCCGGTGGCCATGGCATGCGTCATTGTGTAGGGAAGGGCCTTGTACTACTATCCCATCTAATTCAACTTGAACTGAAGGGTTCCGTGTGATGCACCGCTTCGAAAGACCAGCTTCCTACAACTTGATAGTTGCACTGATGCGCAAAGCAGACAACATTATCACCAACAAGCCGACGCTAAGATACAAAGTGCGGAACCGAGATATCGGCTGTCGCACCGACACCTATCCACGCGCCGTCACCCCAGAACTGCTCGAGCCAAGATTCCCACTTACGAAGACCACCAGCACCGCTGCGTAGCTGACATAGAGTTAGCCGTCGAAACCGAGATGGAGGCCCTTGAACTTACGCGGCCGTGGCTGCGAAAACCTCGGATCGCTTCGCAGCAGTGAAGATACTAACGCTTCCAGCGAACAACAACATAAATACGCCGATCATGATCAGCTTCGTTGTGGGATTGTCGACATAATACAGGACCAATATCGCGACGAAGAGCAGGACGACTGCGATGATGACGCTGAAGATCGTCACGAACCTTGCTATTCTCTTTTCTGGCACGTATGCCATACCATTCTCTCGTCTCTCTGCCTTCGCGCTCTACGTCAGCTCGCCGTAAGTGTAGTGATTATTAGGTCATACGTGCCAAAAAGAGGACTGGAAGATATCGCTGTACGAATGTCGTTACACGATCCTCGTAAGCGGGCTGTTTCAAAAGAACCAGATCATCGTCTCTTTCATACAGGATAGCACTATGGCCTCCGAAGATTGAGTCTCGCTGATTTGAGACTTTATTGTAGCGTGTTGACGCATGATGAATAGCGTCAAAAGTGCGTATTGGGGGCGGTGCAAGTTGCGCCACTTGGCTTTCGGACAGCAGTGCCTTCCCTTCGACATTCTCAGCGCGTCATTTGAGAGTCTAGATTGGCATCAGGTATTACTATACTCTTTCATTTTCTTCCGTATGGTTTCCATTAGATCCATCCGATTCCGTTGTTTGATGTTTGCAGGGTCATTTGCAGCACTCCTGAACGCCTCCCAGTTCATAGCACATCTTCCGGTAGCCAGATCATTAGTCTTATAGCTTCTATCTTCGCTATCCAGCTGTTCCTATTGGCATCCGATATTAGCAGGTCGTCTCGAAGAATTCGAACTGATCCACTGCGTACTTGCATCGCCTCGAGTTCAACCAGCTCACTTTGAAGATAGAGCAAATTACGCACAGCAAGCTTATCAAAACGTCTAAATACCAAAGACGTTCGATCTGGGTCGCTTGCGATATCTTCTGCAAGTGAGGGATATCCATCCAGAGGCCGCATAACACCAAGATCAGAGGTCGGCATCGTGGATTCGGTGAGGTTGTTGTGGCGATGAGAGACCCGCGCGACGCAAGCACGTCCGGATTCTGCCTTGCTGGCAACACAGACCGGTGAAGAACCCCGCATCGCATATGGCATGCCAAGTAACTTACCAGCCAGCCACCAGTTTCGCCCACAGGCGAAAATCTTCTTGTCGCATCTTTGTGCGTTTTACACGTACAGGCATACACAACTTTGTGTTCATCAATACGGGTGCGGTGCCATCACCTTTGAGTGAACCCCAAACAAACCAGCGTATTCCCAGGTTGCGACTCGTGAGAAAACTCTACGCCCATTTGCTGCAGGTGGCGATTTACGTCATCGAAAACTCACTATCTCTACATCATCTGCACACTTTCCGAACCAATGGCTTCCGATCCACGTCAACAAGCACTAGATTTGCTATCGGGTTATTCTACCCCGTCGAACCTACTTCCCGAAGGCTACAAAGAAAGCTTCGACAAGGTATGACAGCGTAACCCAGGGCTTTTGCAAAACAAATGCTTAAACGTACCTTTTGCAGATCTGGTATCAGGAATACGTCCAGTATCGAGAAACTGTCAAGCCAAAGCTCGGAACTAATGGGCCCTCATACGACTCGGCTTCTGGTACGTACATGTCAAGAGGAAGGTCCTCTCCTCAACTAGACGACCTTGCACATGGAACTTCAGCAAATATTACAAAGTGTGATGAAAGTCTCGAAGATACCGCGGATGCCTTGATCTTTGTCAGCGCTGGCGTCAAGTCGCAAGATTTTGTCTTCGATGGCTTCTCGAGCCACGATCCAGGAGTAGAGCAAGCTCGATTGACTCCAGCGATGGAAGAGCTTGATCTAATCATAGAAGAAGACAAAGCCCGAACACATCAACAGGTACTGGATCAACAGATACGGGATCAACAGCACGTGTCAGAAGAACGACTTCGCGAAACTGAAGCACGCGTTCAAGACATCGCAGCAGAGGAAAGAGCTAGGAGGACAAAAGAGGGCACCCACGTCAAAGGACGCCGTCGAGGTCTTCCACTACTTCTCGAAGCCCACGGAGGATTGCAAGAGGTTATGACCTGCTACGACACTGGAACGCATGATAACCACATGTCTCGTGCCAAAGCAACAGAGCTGGGGTATACCATCGATCTGAGCTCCGATATGGAGTCAGGCTTTCAGCTCCCGAATGGCAAGATCATCAAGGCCGTGGGTCATGTAGTTGTGGCGGTTCAGTTCGCTAGAAAGGTAGGCTCCGAAGCAGCTTCTATGACCTGCCGTTTCAACGTGTTCGAACGCTTGGCCCTGCCAGTGCTCATCGGCATGACCTTCCTTCAGGCCACAGAGACCATCACCAGATACACATCGCGCATGGTAGATCTTCCGACGACGTGGAAGCGCTCTCTGTATTTGGGTGCTTTGGGAAGTACGACAAATCAAGTTCCATGCGCCATTCTAGGGCGGGAAACAGTGGCAACTGCAGACACTGGGTCCAATGTCGCCTTGGTCAGTGGCGAGTATGCTACGAAACATCAACTTGAGTTCGAATACGGTTGCGAAGAGCTTATGTTGGCCGACGGATCACTGGAGTACACAAGGGCCTACGCAGACGTGACAATCGGTGTATACAAATCGAAAATTTCTATGGCCAACACAAGACTCCTCCCTCCTCGAAAGTACATGACACACTGGAAAACCAAGAGGGTCCGATTTTACATTTTGGAAAGTCTGCAGTTTGACGTAATTCTGGATGAGGCGACCGTTGATGACCTGAGCATCTTTGAGCATGGCCTTGCCACGATAATGTCTGCCGCCTCTAGTACAGTACCCAGCTTGTCTCCCGTCATTCACCTACGATCAGTCGAAGCCTCTATTGCACAGGCAAGCGTCACGCTGCGTGAGAAAACGAAAGCTGCTGCATCCAGTATCGTACCCAGATTATCTCCCATCATTCACCTACAATCAGTTGAAGCACCTCTTACACCGGCAAGTGACGACGCGCTACATGGGAAAACAAAAGCGAGACGCGGACCGGTGTCCTGGCTGAAACGTTTGTTTCTCTCCATGCGAAAATCTCCGCGTACCACGGCTACTCCTGGTGAGCATCAGTCATCCCTTCTGTTACTATTACATTTTCTGACTAATTGACAAGCAACAGTAAGCCCAACGAGCCTAACCGATGCTGCTTCCCAGATCCGCGCCAAGGAACTACCTCGCCTGATCATCGAACTAGATCAGGCGGAAAATCGCCGGCTTGATCAGATAGAAAGAAGAGGAGCATCGGCTGCAGACGACATAGACAAGCAACGGTACACAGATGAACGTGAGAAGCTTATTCTGGAAATACGAGGCTTGAGAGGGACATCATCTCCTTTGAGCAGCTCACAATCCGTATATTACGGCCGTGGAATCTGAGGGACGTCTGGCAGAAGGACCTCTAGTTCTCAATGAAGGGCACGGTCTGGTTAAAGGGCATGTCAGTCTTGAATGATAACGGGGCTGTCTGCGCGTATACTATGGGTCGAATGGCTTTGATTACTCCGGTAATGGCGCATACATAGGCCCAAACATACTGTGTCGTAGATATGCCGATCCCCAGACCTTGATATAGCTTCTTTAGATAATTGCACGTATCCCTTACCGCCGCCCATTCAACATCCTCCCCTCCTCATCCCCCTCCTCCAAATCACTCAGTTCAAACTCCTCCGCATTCCTCAAACTCTCCTCATCCCCCTTGACCTTCCCCCAGCCCTTCTCATCCGCGGGATTAGGAAACGGCTCCGCACACCCCCGATTGCGCAGTGCCGGATAATACCTCCTATACGTATAATGCGCCACAGCCATACCCAGCACCGACCCCACACTAACGTCATAAACATCATGCCTATAGTCTTCACAACGCGAAATCGCAATAAGCGCTGCGCCAAGCAGGGGTGCGAGGGCGAGGAGGACGCGAGCGAGGTCGGCGCGTGGGCGGTAGACGTGGCATTGGCCTGCGATGAAGAGGGCGAGGTAGCCGAGTCCGCTGAAGGAGAAACTACTATGTCCGCTTGGGAAACTGCGCCACCCGTCGTGTAAAACGTGATGATTCGTTTCGGTGCAGACGTCAAAGGTGACGAGTTGGTGTGCGGGCGTGCCAGGAGCGGGTTTGCATCTCGCAATGAGATCGGGGCGGGGGCGACCGACGGCATTCTTGATCACATCCGTTATGAACATGGTGAGGATCATGCTGATGAACCAGCCGAGGATTGTGACGTGCGCTTTGTGCGTTCCAGGGCGCAGGACAAGGGCCCAGGCGATGAGGATGCCGAGGGGCACGGCGCCGGCGTAGATGAAGAGCCAGGAGACGGGGACGCGTTCGTGTTCTGCGTGGGGGTAGTTGATGGCGAGGTTGTCGAGGAAGAACATGCGGTGGAAGGGCTCGGCGAGGAATTGTATCTGTGCCTAGTTTGTCAGTCTTGCTTTCTTGTTGAAACCTTGAGGGTTCATTCCGGTATTCTGATTACGCACCAGTATGTACCCGCATACTAAGATGGCAATGCCAACATAATCCGAGGCATACGAGCGCTGCAGATGTGTGTTAGCTATCTCTATCCATGCGTAAACCACGCCTCATTGTGAATTCGCTCACCTGCCAGAAGCGCGCGGCCGCGTCTAGGAAACCAGGCGAATTCAACAGCTCATTGGAATTGAGCCTGTGTGTTGGAGCAGGCATGGTCGCGTGGTCAGCACGCGCGCATGGTAGTCGAGGTTTGGCAAGCGTCTTCGGAGGTGTGTCTTCAACTCCGCAAATGCAGGGAGAAACGCGCTAGTGGGGGCGGCTTGCGTCACTCAGGGTACACGCCTAATGTAAACACCATGCAGTCTCCCTAGACTATATCCATCTCGAATTCCACAATGACTATGCAAGAAACAAACAATCCCATCTCGAGACCTTCCTGCTAACAACATCAATACGTAGAAGCCAACATACCCAACCTCCCCCCATCAACCACAACCACACTCCCATTCAAATACCCCCCAGCCCTTCCCGCCATCCACAACACCGCGCCCGCAATATCCTCCTCCTTACCCGTCCTGCCCTCCGGTACAACACTCCTATCCACCTCCCCATTGGGTCCCTTCTCCAACGACCCAATAATGCCCATCGCGAGCTCTGACGGGAAAATGCCCGGTGCAAGTACATTACAACGGATACCGTAAGGCACAAACGCCGTAGCCAGCATCTTGGTCATATGCGTAACAGCCGCTTTACTGCTGTTGTAAGCGAACGACGCGCCGGGTAAACGCGAGAACCCGCCGATACTCGATGTCGTTATAATTTGAGAACGGACATCAGCGTGGGTGGTTTTCCTGCTGTTTCCCGCGTCGAGGAGCGTTAGGAAGGACAGCGCCGTATAATATACCGCCGTGTTGTTCACTGTATACGTGTTGGTAAAGTCGGCCATGGGCGTCTCGAGCGCGTGTGCTGCGTACTCTGCGACGGACGGCGCGGCGCATCCTGGTGCTGCTTTGAGCGGCTTCGGGCCCATGATGCCTGCGTTGCAGATTAGGAGGTTGATGTAGCCTGTCTCGGTCTCGACGTGCTTTGCGATTGAGAGAAGAGATTCGCGTGAGGTGACGTCGCCGGGGAGTGGAATGACGGTTTCTGGGTTGATGCTTTTGGCGGCCGAGTGGAGGACCTCTGGACGGCGGCCTACGATGTAGATGCGGTGGGCGCCGTTGGCTGCTAGGGCTTTGGCCATCATCAACCCGATGCCTGGTGTTGTTAGAGGAGTGCTGTTGGGTTCGTATGTGGGTGGGCTACCAGTTCCGCCTCCTGTGATGACGGCTACTATGCCGTTGACGTTGAAGAGCTCGTTGGCTGAGAGGTTTGTAGACATCTTTGGACGTTTGAGGGTATCAAGCTATGCAAATGCGGACTTACGGCGTCGTTACTTGAATATATGTCATCGCTACGGCTCCACCTTCCGAACTTGATCGTTTCTGTACGACCAGCGTGCTTGCCGTGCTCGGCTGGAATGATGGGTGGTGACTTCCGTTTCCATCTTCCTTGGTAGTCCATCGATGCAAACTCAAATACTCAAGGACGAGTTCTGCAAAGTGAAAGCCCATTATGTCGGTGAGGTACGGTCAAGCGCGGTATCAGTCGATGTGCATTATAGCGGAGATGTTTTCTGCAAAGTAGTCGTGCCTCATGATACCGTGATCCAATCAACGTTACCACCTTCCTCAAAAATGCCAGTAACAACAAACACATCCGATCACTCCCGAGGTCACTTCTCCGCGTGCCAGCTTTTCCTAGCGGTAACCCACTTGAAGCTTGCACACCACCCCTCCACCTCCCCTCGTTCTGACCGCTCAACATAATCATGTATCTCTTGTTGCGCGACCAAGATATCAGCTCTCAACTCCTCCGCCGTCCAAACCCTCGTCTTACTTCCCCACTGCGTCAAGAGCCTCAAGCAAACCGGTTCAAACATCTCCATGCCAAGCACAAACATCATCTTGCCAAGCGATCGCTGCGCTTCGTCTTTTGGCCATTGTCCGACCGGCACGTTGACTTGGGTCGTTTGGACGTCTTCGAAGCCTGCTTCTTCGAGATAGGTGTGGTGCATGTAGAAGAGGCCGAGTGGACGGCCAGATTTAAACGATGCTTCCATGAACGCCACGTAGAGTTTCCGTAGGGTAGGCATGGGTATGTTTGCTGCTGTGATCTCCCCTGGGCCCATGGGCACTTGGCCGAGATCCCAATCTGCGAGTTCAATACATCCACCGGGTGAAAGGCTCTTGTAGATCTCGGCATATACGTCTTCCCAGTGCGTAAAAGAGCCCTTCATGTTTCGTAGATGTATGAGCTCAAAGGAGTCGCTAAAGTGCCAGCCAGGTTCAGGCTGAGGGGTAAGTGTTGAGAGATCAATAGTCAAATGCTCCTCGGGCGTAGGCTCCCTTCCTTGCTGACTGAGATCGACCGTTGACTTGGGCTTCCTCAGCGCGTCAATGGGAGTCCGATTAGCCAATTCATTGGCTAGATCTAGAGTAGCGAGCTGGTTGATCAGCTGGTCGACATCCATCTCTTTTCCCCAGACGTCAAGGTCGTCCAGCTCCCATGTCACCCTGGCATCGCCCAACGTGGCTTCGGTGGTGTCTATATCCCATTCCGTCATGTCAATTCCGACAACCTCCGCGTGCGGGTATTGACGCGCCATGGCAACAGCCCAGTGACCTGGTCCAGTGCCCAAGTCGAGTATTCTTCGGGTAGTAGGCAATAATTTCGCAGTGGTAAGCTTGCCATGAAGTGCTCGGACGAAGATTTCATGCTGTAGCGACAGACGATCCTGCTCTACGAAGTCGTTATGCTGCTTGTATACGCATGGTAGGTAGTACGTTTCATTGCCGTACGTTCGTCCATTTTCATGGAAATATTCTAGATCATCGGAAGCTAATGTGCGGACAGAGCGACTGTCGACATAAGCGTCAGCTTTGTACACCGTGCGATGGTATTTGGTGGGTGATCACCGGTAAGGCTACAGCAATCGTTGTTGATCCTTGGAGACTGCCGAGTGGATCTACCCAGGTGCCCCAACGACCACGTCACAACGCAGAGTGGCAAATAACTGCAAGAACAGAAGATAGCAACGTACTTAGACTCGATCGACGAGATACTCTCCGAGTCAGCCCGTCGGCGTTTGAGTGGAGCGCCTGTGAGAGGGGCAACCACGTCGCCGGGTGGTGGCTGTCCCTCGTCCATGGTCTCGGAAAGCCGATGCAAAAGATCTGACAGTTCTCGTTAAACAAATAAGACAAGAATGATAGGTAGACGGAAGAAGTAGAAATCATTCGTCTCTTGGGTATGTGCTGCATCCGTAGTACCCTAGCAAATGGGTGCTAAAAGCTGAGGTTCTGCATGCTAAGCGATGGTCGCTTGATGCTGGGGGCGCGTGGGTACTGCGTATACGGTCTACATGTGCTGGACCGTAAACGGAAACGGGCGACTTACGGCGAGAAGATCTGCAGGCGGTAGAGGAAATCGCGCTATGTGGGTGACTGACGCGATAGTTGATGGTACGCGGGCGACCGACGTAGACGTGTTGCAGCACGTTAGTAAGAGGTGGTCAGGACCGCCAATACCTCTGGTTGCTAAGAATTAGGCCTCGACCGATGCTCATAAGACTCTGAACAGCCACACGAACGGTACGCAGGCTCAGCTGCCGGCTGACTTCTAACCATGTTGGCTATGACACGGACGAATTACCAACCCAGCTTTAGACAGCAGGCTATCTATGTTCGACCTTCGGGCGGAATGATTGACGAAGGGATGCGCTGATACTGAGTCCACCCGTTGGCGACATGAATGCGTCCATCGCTATGTTACAACGCAATCTCCGGTTCGTGCTACGTGTTCGCAGGTATTA